AACAAAAAATCCCAGAGGCACTGCATTGCATTTTCACGAGGCGTGATTTATTTAGCAGTTGTGTGTTTTGGCTTTCTGTGTGTTATGTCCAGCAATCAAGCCTATGGGGCTGCTTTACATTACACTTCCATGCCGTGCAAATCACCAGGGCGTTAGTCATGGATCACCAGTGTTTTGGGAGAGGAAAAAATTGGACTTTTCCCTTTTTGTGTTTTTTGTAAGATATTTAATAATGCCCCAGTTGATTAGTACTATAATTCTACTTTAGGAACATCAACTTTATTTGCTGTTATGCTGAAGCAGCCACTTATTTTTTCACAGTATGTAAGTGATCAGCTTCTCTAACAAAAGGCAAGGGGTTAATTGACCCTTTATTAAAGACCGCTTTCCTTCCAAATGTGAGTGAAGTGGGAATTAGCATAAAAATAGGATTGTAAACCAGTGGCATTCAACCAGCATTGCAGTAACCCTTTTTATTTTCCAGTTCTTCCTGCTTCCCGTAGCTGTACAAATCTGTGCACGGACACATTCAATTCCATATATAAGCTCTTCAGCCTTGGGTTAGTTTGTGGATGACCTTCTATGGTTAAATCAAAAGTGTGGATATATTCTAGGAGAAACATGCCCATGCACAGAAAAAAACAAAAAGGAGAAAGGAAGGGAGGAAGGGAAGGGAGAAGGGAAAAAGGGAAAAGAGAGAAGGGAGAGGGAGAAAGGAAAAGAGTAAACAGGGGGAGGAGGCAGCAGTCTTGTCTCTGTACATGAAAAAGAGAGGGCCTTAGGTTAAGAGGTGCAAATATGGACTTGAAATAGAGAAGGGGTGGACAGGTAGGAGTCAGGAGCAGAAACAATCATTGAGTGATCTACATGAAACATCCTGTCCCTTCATTGTCCCTGCATTTCATCCCTGCACTGTTCCACGGGCCAGACAAGCCCGTGCCTCCACACAGACGCGCTTCAAGAATTCCCCTCCACACCCAACATACCAGCTATCCCAATGAAGGGCCTTTCTTGCACACTCCATATTACACACACTAAATACTTTATTGTGCTAGATACAACCTCTAAACATTTACAGTAAGTGCACTTAATAGCAAAATTGTTTGCCAAACCTCATTGGCTCTCTCCATACTTGTGAGCTATGAGCACAGTTTTGTTTAAACAGGAAAACAAATGAACAGATTCCTGAGTCTCCCACATACACTTCTGGTTATCAGAAGTTTATCATAGGTAGGGGGGAACATTTCATGGAGGCTCTTGTTAAAACGGTGGCAGCTTATCAGTGGGTTGGATTTCCGTATACTACAGAAGACATAAGCATAGATTAATATCCTTGTATGTTTTTGTATCTACCTTTTCTTTTCTCATTGGTGTACTTAGAAAGCTGGAGCTGACTGAATAACTCTTTGGAAAATCCTCCAAGCGGAGAAAATGGAAGGAAAGAGAAGGGCTCCTTTTCTTGACAAGGCATGGCTGAAAAGGGATGAGGGTTTGGACACTTAAGTTGTCTTTTGGAAGTGGTCTTTCCAATCAAGCTGCCCAATCAAGCCTGGGCAATCTGTCCCCCCAAACCCATGAGACTGCAGCTGCAAAGACCCTCCAAGTACATTAATCAGTGTCAAGCTGAGACTGCTATCTGGAAGAAGTGATGGGTAAGAACATAATGGATAGACTTGCAGTGTAACTGTGAGAGTACAGCAGTGCTTTCCATGGTCTCATCTCTTCCCCGTGGAAGAATTCCCTGTCTTCTTCACTTACAGATTTGGGATTAAGCGAAGGAGCCAGCCCTTAGTACTGGCAGTGTCTAACCCAAGTGGCAGTTATCTTTCTTTAATAACATTTTACTTAAGGCTGATGCATGCCTACTGAGATAGGAAGTCTCAACCATGCTAGTGTAGGGTTGCAGATTTGGGGCCTTCCTATTCCGTCAGCTTTCATTCTGATTTATCAGTGCTAACTAGAGCACTTGCAAATTGTTGTGCAGATAGGCGCCTTAAAAAGACCGTGAAGGAGAAGGTCATATTTGAGCTATGGCACTTCTGCAGCACTTGGGAAAATAAGCCAGTTGGTTCAGGCTGGCCTCTGCCATCCTCTGCCCATCTCAGGGACCCAAAGGATGCAGGGTTATTTCTCCCAGCTCTGCGTTGGCATCATCCTGTTTCCCCATAAGTGAAAGGCAGAGTAGGAGTGTCTGCAGCAAAGCCTCTCTAGTTGGTGGCACCCTCCTTAATCCCACTTGGGGAGAGCAAGTTTATTTCAAAAACTCATGGTTTTAGTCCATAGGCATCTACCTGCAATGAGGACAGACAGAGCTGGGGGTGGCAGAGTAACAGAGCGAAAATCCAGCTGGCTTTATTCTACATGTAATTAAGCTTGGCATCTGCTAGCATAATATGGGGGTAACAGGAGGGTCAGAAGAAGCTGTAAAACCTGCTTCAGAAGCAGGGCTGGCTTGAGCTTCCTGAGACAGGCAGCTCCTAGAGTCTGGGCTGGCCTGACCCGCAAAGTCAAAAAACATACTCCTTGGAGTGACCTGAGAAGCTTCATCTCAATGCGATACAGGGAGCAAATTATGCTGATATTGACAAGGCATTTTGAAGGGGAAGCAGAAGTAAGACATCAGTCACAAGAATGTTTCTTCCCTCTTTGACACCCAAATTACTCAGGCATAGTTTGCAGCATGAACATGTGTAGCACGCTTGGCCTTTCTTTTTCACCAAGTGACCCAGGGCAAGCCTTTCCTGCAGCTTTTTAAAGCAATGCCATAGTGTTGAACAGTTGGGAAAGACAAAGTAAAAAACAAAAACAGTGGTTGGTCTTGGAACAACTATTTAAAAAAAACGCTGCTACCGGTGCATTATGGACAGGTATGCTTGGTTTTAGGAAGCACTGTAATAGCTCTTTACTGGTCTGCCATTTCTCCTTGTGCCAGTTACATGCCCAGCCTTCAGCATCCCAGTCAGCTGCCAGCCTATAGAAAGCCAGCTATAGTGAGATGCCAGAGAACAAGAAATGCACTGTGTAAAACAAAGATCATGTTTTCAGCTTTTCGTGTAAATGCTGCAACTAGCAACTCTGTGGACCACTGCGTCACCCAGCCTCTAATGTCAAATGTGATAGCAGTGAGGAGTTATAATTTTGGTTAATAATCCCTCATTCAAGGGCAATCTTTTCCATTACTTTCCACACTTGTGCTGCCCCTAAATAAATGAAGTAGGGAAAACACATTTTCTTTGACCTGCAGGTGACTTCATCAGCCATTTTGCTACAAATACACAGCTCCCACCGCTACAATTGCTGAAACAAACATCATTAAATATGAACTTCAAGAGGATTTACTTGGGCCAGAGGCAGCCAGCAACAGAAGAATTTTAATGACTGTGGGAGGATCGCTGGTATTTTAAGAAGTCTTTTAAAACCTTCTGTAGGATTTGAGATAAGAAAAATAAGTGGAGCAATTTTTTCCCCTAAATACTTCACACCGCATTTTCACATAGCAGAAATGAGTTCTACATCTCCATAATGAAGGTGGAAAAATCCTGATTGGAGAAGTAAAAGATAAAAAAAATCTGAGGCGAAACCAAGTGGCATGGGAGCCACTCTAAAGAAGAGAGCAAAAGAATTATTCTATTCCAAGCTCTTGATTTTATTCTCTTTGCTCACAGCAGCTTTAATTTCATTAGCTTGCAAAGAAACACTCAATCCACAGATCAGATTTCTCAAGGGTATAGGGAGACAAAGCACTAATTAAATCTTTAAACAGCAGCCACACACTCAGTTAGTTCCTCTAGTGGAATCTTAGAAGCAACTTTTGCATCCTGTTGCTTTTGCATTGCACTTCACCTTCTAGAAAAGCCCCCTTCTCCCAGAAGTGCTCCCGGATTAATCAATCCCACGGCTGAAATTTAACTGCTGTCAGGAGTTGAAAGGTCCAGCTTCATGAATTGTCGAGTGCCTCCTTGGAGAACATCTGATCTATGTACCTGGGCAGCACCTGCCACCTGTTGCAATGGTAATGAGAACACAAGAGCCTCCTTGGGCAACCGTCTTCACGTCGGGTCCCTGGACCCACCAGCATGTCGTGAACAATCGCGCTCCCCATTAAATTATTCACCCACTGTTTCTCCCAAACCACCGCACACTTCCAGCACAGAAAACCGGGGTAAATGAAACACTGCTGTTTCTTAACATCACCCTCCCAACTTATCCAGGACAGACTCTGTGAAGAACATGCAAACAGCAGTTAAAAGGACACTGGGAAAAGGAAGACTACCCCCAAAATAAAGTGTCTATGATGCTTCTCTTTTGTGAGGAAGTGGGGGGCAGGAAAAAGTGCTCTCCCTAGATTCAGGGGAGAAAATGACTCAGAGCACAATTTAGATAAGAAAAAAAATAATAAAGAAGTGTTTGTGAGATGTCCTCTCTCTTTGGAGGCACTCTTACCCTCTCCTTTCTCCTGCTTACCTGCACTAGCTCGGCCATCATGCAGGCACCAGGAAACATTATGAGTGGCTTCGCAAGCAGATGCTTTTACATGAAAAAGTTCACACAGCCTGTTCTCTTTCTCACTACAGTCACGTGAATAAAACACAAATCAGCCTTTAGATTCACTTGCTTTTAAACACAATCAGGTAAAGACCTCTGCTTTGTCCAAAGGAAGTGCAACATTTGATACCTTGATCAGATGGCAGATAATGCTTCATTTATCCCCTCTTCCCACTCCTCCTTCCACAGTGTCTGTACAAATTTGGCTTAACAGTACAAGTGAATTTCAGTTTTACTGAAAGCAGTGGCAAAACTCTCACTGTGTTTAGTGGGGACAGGTTTTGCTCACTTGCTGTTTTTCCCTCTCTCAGCAAGGAACTGCCTTTTCTGAGCAGCTTTTTCCCATGATTTTAAACAGAGATGTTAAAAACTCTGCTTTGAGTTGAGCTGACCCTCTCATCTCCATTTCTTCCCTGCCCACATGGGAGAATATAGTCCCTTATGTTACATTCTGATACATTACATTGACTGATACACCTCACATTTTTTACCTTTTTTTTTTTTTTTTTTTTTTTTTTGCTATAGAGACATATTACTATAAGGAAAACGGTCTTAGAAATTTACTGTTGATATATTTTACATCGTTAGGAGAACACACAGTTTCCCAGAGGAAGGTCCCAAGTTCTTTGTCTTCAAGATCCCATCTTTGCTAATGTTTGTTCCTGTCAAGAAATTTTGATTAACATCACTGATTCTTGGGAAGTGAAATTCACATTAGTGGTATTTCTCTTTGAAACAGCTACATATGAAAAAATCCATCTGTCAGCTTAGCTTTTCATAGCAATGTGCATATGTGACTATTATATATGGAATGGTTCAGTCATTTGCAATAGACTGCTGCATATTTGGTCTTGTCTTTACTAAATAAAATTGTACCTTCATTCTTAGTAGCCCACTGCTTTCAAAATGTAGGGTAAATAATTTAGAAGATACCCTACAAATATTTCTCAGTGCAAAACACAGAAGTTGTTGGGTTTCTTATTAGAAGAAAAGTATTTTTTTTAAAGTACATATATATTTTTTTTCATGTTAAAAATCCCATTTCTTTCCATAACAAATGAGAAAAGCATTCCAACAGCAAAAATACGTCTTTTTTTTTTAACTTACCAATATGTCTGTAGCCCTTGAAGAGCCCTAGAGATGTGTCCTACTCTAAGAACTTGACCCTGAAAAACTTGGGACCCCTCACACATTACACATTTCATACCACACTTCAAAGAAGAACATTAAATACCTTGTGACTAGAGTATTGTTTATTTCATAATCTAAACAAACACTGGAATACAGTCTATGCTTTTCTACTTTCTTGCAGACTTTACAACGAGCTTTTTTTTTTTTTCTTCCCATAATTAAAACAATCTGCATACACACAGAACATGCATGCTCTCTAACACCAGTAATGAAGGTAAGAAGAGTCAGTTTCCATCATCTTCCTGTTGCCTGTATTAGAAAAAATACTTTTTTTTTTTTTACTGTAGTTACGGCAGTGTGGCTAAGGATACGAAGACTAGAGCACAGTTTTACTCCCTGCACAGAAAATGTTCATCAAAAGCATGCTGATGGTGATAAATATTACATGTCTATTAAATGAAAGGCATACTTTTATCCCCTTTACTCCCTTTTTAAAAAGACTAAGTGGCTACATGTAAATGCAGTGAAGCAGGTATAAGCTTAATTAATCAGAGTTGATTCAGACTGGCACCAAGACGCCATGAGGGCTGACGAAGTCTCAGCGAGGCTTCCCAGGGGTGAGCGTGGCTGCAAGGCATCTGCTTCCCACCTTCTGTGAGCAGAAGGCAAAGGCCTAGCAGCACAGCCGGTCCCGGCACCCGCTGCTGTGCTGGGCTGCCTGGAAGAGAAGCGCTCGTAGTCTATTAGTGTTTGAGGAAAACAAAACAAAAAAACAACAAAAAAATCACCTTTACGAGTGGGTTACCTCCCCGGGGTGGCTTCATCAGCCGTGAGGCTGGCTGGCGGGGGGCTTTACACCACCGAGTGGTCATTGCTGTGGACGCCGGCCAGGATGGTGTGGTTGAGCGAGGACGCTGAGCGGTCCGAGCCTTCGGTGGGGCCGTTGGCGTTGTCGCTGCGCTGGCAGCAGAGGATCTGCTTGAAGGTCGCGCTCATCTCCTTGTCCCGGTAGGAGTAGATGATGGGGTTCATGGCGGAGTTGAACTCAGCCAGGAGCAGGAAGAACTTCTCGTAGGCCAGGACGTTGCACTGCGGGCAGCAGACGTCGAGGAGCAGCAAGACTAATCCCGGGGTCCAGCAGATGATGAAAGCACCTGGTGAGGGGGAGAGGAGACAACACACAACAAAACCCACAGATATACCAACGTGCTGGTGCCGGTCACAACACCACGAGAACCATCCAGCTGGAGGTGGTGGTGTTTAGTTTTCTTATGCAAGGGCATCTTTCCCACACTATTTCTTCACTGACCTGATGAGACGGCTGCCTTTCAGAGACCCATGAACAGTTATGGGCAGCACATCAAAAGAGCAAGCCTTCCCCCCCCCCACCCTCCTCACAGTTTTAAATGTTCTCCACTTGGCACATATGCTTGCATTTAAAGTTAATGATGAGGAACATTTTCCCCTTCAGTTAGAGGCCTCTGACTAATCAATCTCTTGATCAGGAGAAACAATGCTGTAATTTACTTCTCGAACCAATAACAACAAAGGAAACCTTTCTGTGAGAGCTATGACTGAAGCATCAGTAATAGAGGAAAAGTGGTGCAGGCAGCAATTCTCAAGAAAAAAGAAAGCCTGGGTCTTGTTAATCCATTTCAGCCCTATTATGTAATGGAAAGTCCTAAACACACATCCTTCTTGCACTGAAATGCCGTCCTTCAACAAATCTACTCCTTTTCTTAGGGCTCTATTCAACAGAAATTCAGAGACTCCTCGGGCTTCAATAGTGTAAATGCCAAAGAGCCTTACCCTGATTAAAATGCTTCCCCCTCCTTTCTCTGCTTTGCAGAGCCCTGATGGGGACAAAGCTCAGAACAACACTTGGAGCTCAATGCAGAAATGAAATCAAAATGCCTCACATTGTACTGGAAGTACTGAGTCAAACAGTGATGCTAACTTCTTGCAGGGTTACAGAGGTTCTGAATCCAAGCATGACGGGGGAAGCCCTTGCACACAGATCCTGTCAGAACAGAGATGGTGCTCCTGAAATTTTCCAGGCTGACATGCTTGGTAGGGGTGGGAACCGAGGTCTTATCATCTGCCGGCAGGCTTAAAAGCAGCTACGAGGGCTTCCCAGCACTGCCCGGCCAGCGCTGTTTCCAGCAGGTTCTTGTCTTACCATGGTATTTGCTAACATGCTGCCTCCCTTTTTTTTGGCCCCATAGCTGCCCTCAGTCAGACTCTGCCATGCCGCTTGCTGTCCCCAGCTTGGGCAGCAGTTGCATGCCACACAGACACCTTTCCCTTCGGATGCTGCTCACCCAGATCAGGCAGAAGAGCAGTTTCTGGATGGCTTTGCAGGGTGTGCTGTGCTCCAAGATGCTGGTTGCCAACTGGGCAAGCACACACAGGTTTTCAATACACCAAAAAACAACCCCAAGCCGAGTTTGCTTGCAAACAGTGGTGCCACAGTGCCTCTTGATGCCTATCACTTTGCTGGTCAACAACACGCAGAGGGAAACGGGGAAAGAAGCTGGGAGGCGAGCTGCCAGCTGCTTGTACAAAAGCCCTGACTTCTTTTGCTGGATTGCTTTGTTAGGGGCTGGCAGCAGATTTACAGAATAGGGCTGAAATTCTCCCACAGTGAGGTGGCATCAAACACAAGTCCTCTTCAGAGCCCTTGTCTGCAGCTCTTTCGGGTTCCAGCGGGCCTGGAAAAGAGCACTTGAAACCTGGGCAGAGGGTTTTGTTCTTTTGTCCCTCACTCATACCTGTTCCCGCAAGAGTAGAAAGCTGCATCTCCTCTTATGCAGGATGGCCCAGGCCGATTCAGAGGCTGCCTTCCTCACGGAGCAGCCCTGTGAAAATCTTTCAAATTCAACCACTCGCTGCAGAAGCTGTGCGTGTTGTGCTCAGCCTCCTAGCTAGCCAGGCAGTGGTGGACTTTGTTCCAGCTTTGGTGCGTATTTTCTTCATTATGGGCTGCCTCTGGAGAATAACATCAGAGACGGGAACTCTGCAAATCATGGGATCTCCAGTCAAGGACAAAAGACGATGACAGCATCCTCACCCAGCCCGCAGCAGAGAAGTCCAACGTGGGAACAATGGGGCTGACAGGAAGGCTCTCCTAGGGTTGCTCAAAGTTGCGATTGAAAGCTTCCAATTTTCCAACAACTTTTGTTGTTTTGTTTTGAATCTTTTTTGTGGAGAAACTGAATGTATCAAACAGGACGTTCTGTTGCTACCTGTTTTGGGTACTGCTGCCAACAAGAAGCAGCATTACGGTGAGGCAGGTTGACATTAGCCCCTGAGAAAGCCCCAAATTCGCTGACAAAGGTCCACATGCAGCCCACTGCTCTGAACATTGGTCTCAAGGGGAGTTGAGACCAGTATCTCAGTATCTCAGGTAGGTCCAATAAACTACATGCTGAGGCCTGACATGGTTGCACTCCAGGAAAAAGAGGGCCGTAGCCAAGCAAGCAACTAAACTCTCCGTGCTCCTCATTCTGCCCTTAAAAAATAAAAAGAATAAAAAATAAAGAAAAAAATATATAGAGATAATGCCTGAGGCACCCCTGAGAGAGGAGGAAGCTGTCACTCTGCATGCTGCCACACTGCTGCTCGTGCCAGCTGGTGACAAGGCTGTGGAGGGCAGAAGACACACATGGCTCCAGACCCCAGAGGTAACTTGGGCTGCCCTGTCGCCCAGTGGCAGACCCTGACAACTTCCCACCTGGTTTCTTCCACGCAGTTTTCTTCCACACAAGGTCCAGGACTGACCTTTGGGCACACAGTGCAGGTTTCAGGCTTCAGAATAGACAGCTCGTTTGTTTTTGGGAAGCAAAAGCCATTGAAGCCAGCCCCATTCACTCCAGCGGGTTTTGTTTCCCTTTAGCCTCTGGGATTTTCCTAGGAAAACTTCCCACCACGCTAATGGCTCCTGTGGCTTATTAAGCTAAGTGCTTGCAAATGGTGACACAAACAATGCCTTGGGTTTTCTCTCACTTGTTATTTAACTGTCAGTGCCCTGGAAAATACTGGGAAGCATCACTCACGGTGAGGGCGTGTTTGAATTAGGTGCAGTGCAAGGAACGTGAAAGTGTCAGGCTCCTGCTAATTCAGATGTAGGTCATCTGTTAAATGTGGAATTCTTCCCCTGGAATGAAAAGAGCTTGGAGTTTATTTTTTTCTACTTCTTTGTTGGAATATTTGTCAAAGTAAAGTGACACCAAGCTAAAAGTGAGGTTAAATTCTTCCCTTTTCTGAAATCTGCTGTGCGTTGATTTCACCAACAACGGAGAACTAAAAATATCACATCTAATGAAACAAGGAGATCCAAAAGCATCATGCTGCCTATATGCCGAGAAGCCTTCAGCATACTTCAAAGTCTTTATGTATTTTTCTGCTCAGGAACAGAACCAAGAGGAGCCCAAAGTGATCAACTCCCTGGTGCATCGTAGCATTTTACAAATGCCATGAAACCCACGTTACAAGGACATACAAAGCAGATCTACTGCATTCAAGGAATCACATCTGATCATCTCTGTGGGTGTGTCACTGTCCTGCCATGGCACTAGGAAGGCCCACCATGCACAAATGAAGCTGCAGATGATAAGTCCTTGAGTAGCCTGCACAGAGAGTGTCCTGGGGAGATGCCTCCAGCCTTGGCAGCCCGTAGGGTGCTGGCCCCACGCAGAGCTGGCCTGGCTGCTGGTCTGCAGTGTGAGCAACATCCCCATGGTGCATGGCCAAGGTCAGCCCTCTGGGCCTGGGAAATGCCCATCAGGCTGAGGGGTGGCAAAGCTTGGGGGAACAAGGAAAATAGCACAGCATCCTTTAACAAGATTTAATGAGACAAGAGGGGAAGCATCCCTATAGACCGGGAAGCGGAAATCTGAGTTACGACACAAATCTCATCTTCTGGAACTTGCTGTGTGATGATACATCTCACTTGGGGCTGAAACTCCAGCTCCTCGAGCATCGTCTGGCTTGCTGTGCTGCGAGGAAGTGGTGCTGAGGGCTTTCCAGTGACCATGGTATGACTGCATCACGTCTGCCCTGAACCCCTGTCCAGTGCAGCTGTCTGGATTGGAATAAAACCCATGGTAGCTGCAAGCCTGGAAACTCCTGGGTAAGTGTGGCATCATGTCAAGATGTGATTGCGAGAGAGCAGAAACCGTTGTGGGCAATAGACACACGAAACCACACATGATAAATCACACAAAAATGAGCAACTTGAAATACAAAAGAGAAAACAACTCCAAGAAAAGAGCAGCAGAAAGGAAACATACCACCACATGAGGATAAACACTGACAAACCAGTTAGTTATTGCTAAGTCCTCAGTCCTCTAATGAATGTCTGCAAAAACAATGCAACAAATTTCACACAGTACAGAAGGAAAAAAAGGGTAAGGTAAACAACAGCCTCTGAAACACACAGAAATACATATACTGCTTTAAGGCTGTACCTGAGAGACAAATCACATCTGTGCTACCACAGGCAGTTGTGCCATGGTTGAGTTTATCACTAAGAACAGACCTTTTGGGATGGTTTGTTTTGCTGCCGGTGGAGACTGTCTCACACTGACGCCTGTATTTACAAAAACTTGGTTATAGCCAAAGCAAGTACGGCTATAACCCTCCTAAGAAGCACGCTCAGCCAGAAGATTGGACATGGTTAATAGTAAAGATGTTGAAGAGGGCGGGAGAAACATTCCCAGTGTGTCTTAAGGAGCTTTCTTCTGTTCTTCAGTGAAGTGAAGGGCAGACCCTGCACAGACCCTAAACCAAGCATGGGTAGGTGCCCCTGTCCCCCGTCCCTTGCCGTGGTATCCCTGCAGTGGCCAAGGACATGACCCAGCCCAGACACAGTTGCTCTTGAAACTTCTCTGAAAGCTTGCAGGCAAAGCATTTCCTAAGCAGCACCATTTATTTATTTATTTATTTATTTATTTATTATTCAGCCTTTTCACCTTGGACGAAGACAGACTGCATTTATTCCATGAGCATTTATTTTCCCCTCGCTCACAATGGTGAAATAAAAGGAGCGCAGCTGCTCCTGCCAAGTCAAACACCGCTGCTGCCCGTACCCTGATCTCCCACACGCAGGGTGGAGCATCCTCTGCTGCTCGTGAATGGGGAGAAAAAGTGCATT